GTACACGCGAGAAGCAGTTTGGAAATCCGTCTGCATCAGACTAAGGAATTGGAAGAAGTATCTGTGCATACAATATTGCGCGTCAGGTACATGGATTGTGGACGCGGCGCCAAGCAGAGAATCGACTGAAGTACCTCTACGCCCAAAATAAAAGGTTGAGCCTCGTCCAATTTGGGACGACCATGTTTTGTGTTTTGTGGTGGTTTTGCGCACTCCTAACAGCATGGTGAAATGTAGTTCTGGGTTTCAGGCAAACTGCATCGCATGCAATTTCACTGTCTCGTCTGAGTCGTCTCTTCCAGGGATATTCATCGACTACTGAATCAACTCTTCTAGGTACGTCTATGTCAACAGAACAAGACTCTCTTTGCTTCTGTGTGGAGAGCCATCGAAGTTCGAAGAAATCCATTGGATGTTCCTGCAATCACTGCCCGATGCTGTGTGCTGCAAGTTGCAACACCCCGTGAATTGCCCGCCAAAATTTCGGCACCTAGGGTAGCTCGTCGTTTCAGCCCATGCGTTGGGTGGGAGATCACAAGATACATTCGCCTGTGACGCGTGTAGGTAGACATGTCTAGACTAGAGTGACTACCCTAGGTATTGCAATACTGTGGCAGACTGGCGGTAGCGGAGCGCCCGTAGACTAAAAGATGAAATTGAATGTTGACGTTTTTACAGCCCAATCATAGGTTTGAAGGCTGTTTAGGATCCTCATTTTCTATGGAAGCTTACAGAGAAGAGACCGTGTTGGCCGTGTTTTTACTATCTACTATCTCTGCTATGATTAGCATGCTGCCGCCGGCCCAACTGTATTGCCGAGCCGGCATAGAAAATCCAAAGCTTTCGTCGGCATCAATGAGCGTGCTTGGCGCCCGAAATCGAGGCCCTGAATTGCTGGCTACTCTCGCCGCAGGTTGCGCACGAGGCTGAATGTTCCGCCAATTTGGCGCTGAAACTTGTCCTCATGATGTTGCTCAAGAGCTCGATTATCAATCGACCGAGGAGCATGTGGCTGATGATGACTTTGAAAACTATGCAAAGGCGCCTGCTGGTGCGATTGAGGCCCTAGAAAAGCCGGCAATTGGCGCTGCTGGAGCGACCTGTCGTAATAGTTAGCAATAGCCGTTGCGAAGAAGTAGAGCAGTTTTCTCTGATGACTGATGCTCGCGCTTCCATCGAGCTTGGAAACAAGTGGTATTGAGAAAAGATGAGAAGAGGAGGACTTAGTACCTAAGGGCTAGCTGCTGCTGTTGTGCGTGATTTGGCAATTACTGCAACGTGGGCATAGCAGGCAAAGAAGGCCGCAGTGGCACCGTGGTTGTTGTTGTTGTTGTTGTTGTTGTTGTTGTTGTTGTTGTTGTTGTTGTTGTTGTTGTTGTTGTCGACGGAGCATTCGGCTGACGGCGTGACTCGAAACATGAAGAGTTTTTTCTTGCGGTACGTCCTTGTTCATGTGCAAGACACACATGATAATCCTGGCCTCTAGAAACCCCACGTTCAGGGCGTTGATGAAAGACCCATCGTCGTCGGTTTCCCAGAGCTTGACACGAATGCCCTTGGACTCAAATAGGGCCTAAAGCTGGTTGAGAAACCGTGAGAAAGACACATCATCCTTGTGTGTTTCATCAGCACGACATCCAAATATATCTTGCGATTGTCTCCGTTCGAGCCAACCAAGTTTAACAACGAGAAGTTGTATCTTTGAATGTGCAATCAACGATGATCACATCGGTTTATAATTGGAACGATTCGCGGCATTTTGGGTGTACATATGCCTCATGTAGTTTTCGGAGTCGACCGCACACCTAGACAAAAAAATCAGCGATTCGAGCTCCTGCGCAAGCTCCACAAAGTCTGGACGTCCGAATTGCTGTGCAGCATCATCTGTCCTCCTAGATACATACCAATAATTCTTCCCATCCATCCTCTCGTACAGCGCCTCAAATTTCGTTCACGTACTCTGCTCGCGCTGCTGCCAAAGCCTATATTCATTTATGATATCCTGGCGCTTGAGCAGTGTGCCTGGAAACTTTTCTTGTACCAAAATCAGCGCCTGTTTCGCACCCCGCGCGAGAGGCCAAATAGCTTGTAGGTGCCGCCTCATTTCGTCAGTACGCGTCGCCCGGCTGTGCGACGCGATACTTTTCGCGCTGGGCGCCGGAGGATGATTATGACTGATGCTGGCTCTGTTCTCGCACCATTTGACCCTCCACTGACCGTCCAGCTGCGTGTAGTCATTCGCCACAAGCCAGAATTGCATCTTGCAGCCAGTCCTCTGCGACGTAGCGCCTGGCCGTTTCCGCGAGACACTCGAAGCGCCAGCCTCGCGGGGTTTGCCACGGCGGTGGCAGGTCATGAGAAGCCTATAGCGGCCGCCTTTGGCCCAGTTATGCCTATTGTATTGTAAGACACCCCATGATCCTTTGCCCACGCAGTAACGCCAGCGAGGGCGTCGTCGAAGCTCTCATATAGCAGTTCTGGCGGCGGCGGATGATCGCGTACGCGTAGGTCTGGCTCATGAAGATCTTTAAGGTCGTAATCCACGCCCTCGATCAACTCGCGGAGCTCACCATGTACTCTGGTACGCGCGGCCGGCGGCGGCGGCGGCGACGAGGTGCGCTTTCGGGCTCATCTTCAGCGCCCGGAACGCTGTCGAGATCGCCATGCAGATCACTGTCGAGATCACTTTCGTTGGCCTCCTGGCGCAGCAGGCGACTGACAGAGCTATCGAAATCTGCATCCTCTGACGAAGGCAGGAAGACAGGCTGCGCTGGGCTGTGTGACGCGTCAAGCTGAGCGCGCAGTGGTTGTGTCGCGCGCGAAGTCCGCTGCGATGATGAGGTAGATGGGGCGCTCATTTCCAAGTCGAGAAATCGAGGAAAAAAAGAGGACGATTGTGTAGCTTCAAAAGCCAGTCGCAAAGCTAATGATCGACAGATGATGGTAAGAAGTCATAGGTGCCGAAATCTATGGTTTGTCTTTCGACCACGAATGTGGTGGAGGTAAGTACATGTACAAAGTCGTGTGCGCTGGCAGGATGGATGTTCAATGACTGTAGACTTGATATAAGTCAATAACGGGCGCCCTTTCAACAACCCAGTACACACCGGTCGATGATTCGTCATCCGGCCCGGTTAGCTCAATCGGTAGAGCGTGAGACTCTTAAGTGTACATGAAATCTCAAGGTTGCGGGTTCGACCCCCGCATCGGGCTATTCCTATAAATCACCGATCTGAGATGTGCGCTGGCATTCATTTTTTTTCGACGCCTTTTTGGCCTTCCCACTTCGACTTCGACTGACTGGGTGGGCATTGTCACTTTTTGCCTCTGGTCACATTTGCTTTTGCGCATCTCGATCGCCATATGTACTCACCTTCTATCGCTTACATCCGCCACTTCTGGCAAGGTATGGGTCGACTGGTTAACCCATTGGCAGATCTATTACTACATCTCCTTCATCGGGTGTAGTGGTCAATGAAGGTGGTACGAGGAGGAATCCTCCGTCATATTTCTCACAACAACTTCAACATAACATCTAACACATCAACAGCCACAATGGCGCCCAGCGTCGCACGCACGGTCGGGTTTGAGTCCGGAATCCCTCATCTGCAACGCTACCCCCTCCCGATTGAACCAAACCGGGCATTATTTCGGCGCACGCGGCCTGCAGGAAGATGGCCCCTCTTCCGCTATGGCGATCCTGTCACACATAGTTCACCTGCCGGCCGGCCACCCTCCAAAGTCTTCTACGCCCCAATCCAACCTCCTGCGGCATGGCCCGAGCCTATATACGTAGATTGTATCTTTCTCGACATGCCTTTTTTTGACATGGTTTTTTCTTTGATGTGACCTCTTTTTGGGTGCCTGTTTTAAAGCAGACAAGATCGGCATGAATACATCCATCCACTTGCCTCATTCGTCGCATCATGGACCCCTCCAATCCTGAGGACTGGCTCAGTGACAACGTCTCCGAGAATAGCATCCCGGCTCCGGATGTCGAGGCTGATATTCCGTCACCGCAAGAGACTCAGTGTCCCGGCGCGCCGTCAGTCTATGTGACGCTTCATCGGTATGTCTTGCGTTTTTTGCGAACAAGTTTGCCCTTTTTTGACTTTAACTCGACCGTTCGTGGTTTTCTGCTGGGGAATGTTGGGCTAACGGATGGAGACAGCGTGAGACGCCTGGTTCTGGCGAGTATTGGTATGCGTACATTTTGGATACCACTACCCCTGAGTTGTGGGAGGGCGCGATTGGGGGACGGCATTTCTTTCTCCAGCGTTGCTTGTCTTGAGTTGTCCCGTCTGGCCCTGAAGCATTCAAAACTTATCTGTCTTGCTCGGCTCGTCTGGCCCTGATGTAGAGAGTCTAACACCTGCTTGTGCTTGCTCCGTCTCATAGATGATCCATACACGCTGGAACATTTTCGCCAACCGAGCTTAAACGCCCTTGTCGTGAGGCCGCTCGTAGATCGCTTGTACGAGACGAAGGACATATCCATTAGTGAGTCTGCACCCCCGTCTCCCATACGAATGTCCTCTACATCTACACCGTGGCTGCTAAACTTTTCTCAGTCTACTGCCTCCTCGCGAACCGCGTCTTCTTCCTCAGGGAACAGTCCGGCCTTTCGGCACAGAGCGTTAACCGAGCGCGCGGCATCCTCTGCGAACTGGTCGCTACGCGCGTCCTGCGGCGCTTCCACGAGGACAACCCAGGCGACGCGGGCCTGCTGCTGCTGGCGCAAATCCTGGTCGAGGGCTTCGACCCCTTCGAGGGGGCGCCGTACGATGTAGAGCGCGACGGCCGCTATGCGCAGTGGCCGGTGCAGCAGCGCGGGGGCCACGAGAGGAAGCTCACGGCGCTGGAGCTGGCGATTTTGTCCGAGAGCAAGGCCTTCATCAGCTGCGCGGCGTGCCAGCGGCTGGTCGAGGCGGTGCATTGCGGGCAGATTGTATACACGCCACTATCGTTTCTCGATATCCTACCGGATCACTACAAGCATCGGCCCATCCGGCTGTACGATCCGCGTCACTCGCGCCTACTTAATCACCAGCGGCTGATTGTGCCGCGCATCAGGGCCCTCATAGAAGTGGTGCAATTCATCGTGCTGGCGCTGCTGTACGTCATGACCATGGTGACGCAGAACCGGCCAGAGCATCACCGCTGGGAAGCCGCGTTTGCTATCTACACGGCTGGCTGGGTCCTCCAGGAGTTTGCGTCAGTGACGGAGCACGGCTGGGAACTGCACTCGCAGATGCTGTGGTCCTTTCTCGACGTGACTCTGGTCGTCATCTACGCGGCCTATGTGCTCGTTCGTATCTACGACGTGCTCGCGGGCACCATTTCCCACGGCCACGGACTCAGCGTTCTGTGTCTCGCCGCACCAATCCTGCTCACCCGGATAGCCTTCAACGTGATGCCTCAGAATATCGTCTTCATCGCGCTGCACGCCATGGTGAGGGATTTCACGGTGCTCACCTTCCTCGCCATATGGTGCTTCGTCGGCTTTCTGCTCGCGCTCATGTGGCTACTGGACACGGAGCAAGTAGCAGCCGCCCCGGGACCTTCCTGGCAGACGGTCGGCAAATGGCTCCTATGGATCTGGTTCGGCCTCGACGGCACGGGCATTGCCGAATCTGTGCGCTTCAACGTGGTGCTGGGCCCGGGCCTCATGATTGCTTTTGCCTTTCTCGGCAACACGCTCTTCCTGACTATCCTCGTCGCCATCCTGACCAATACGTTTTCCAAGATTGTCGCCAACGAAGCCGCTGAGATTCGCTTCCGCCGCACGGTTCTCACGTTTGAGGGCGTCAAGTCGGACTCCCTTTTTGCGTACCCGCCTCCCTTCAACATTGCCGCTTTGCTCGTCATCCTGCCGCTCAAGATGCTCGTCTCGCCGCGCTTCTTCCACACCATCAACGTGGCCATGATTCGGCTTCTCAACGGGCCTTTGCTCATCGCCATTAGCATGGTCGAGAGACATGGGCTGTGGAAAGCGGCTGCGTCGAACAAGAACGGCAGCGGCAGTGGCGGTCGTCGTAGTGGTCGAAGCCTCTTCGGCTGGCGCTTCACCGGCTTTTCTCCCCATGGCGATATCTATGCTGTCTTTACCGCCGGGCTGCCGGACCATGTATCCCGGAAGATTGACCTGCTGGACCCCGTCGAAGATGTGCCTGTTCTGGAGGATGATGTCATGTCCACGCTGTCGGGCGACGTGCCGAGGTCGAGACTGCGAAGGCCCAAGTTGTGGAGGGGTAGAAGAGAGTATCCGCGGGCGCGGCCACTTGCGAGACGGCCGTCGCCTACGCAGGGGAGTGATGAGTTCTTGTTGCGAGGTGTACAGTGAGAGAAAAGTGAGAGGGGACTGACGTGACTCGGATGGGCCGGAAAAGGCTACACTTTTTTTCTTTCAAGAACAATGAAATAGAACAAGCTATCAATGAAACCCATAGAAAAAGGAAACTTGGGCCTTGTTCGCCATTGAGATGTGCCAAAAAGCAAAGAAAGAGCCGCTTCGTCCACGTTACATTACATTAGGTACAGTACGTCGTTTACAGTCTGACTCACCGCCCCGCTGTCTGCATACGCGCCGCAGAACCCAAGCCAACCAAGTCCGACCAAAACGAAAGCGCGTAACGGCCTTCTCAAGTACATATGTAACGGCCAAATCTCACATCCCAAAATCCCGCTTCTGTTCCTCCCCGTCATCATACCATCACATCACCATCATCTTGTCCATCGCCATCTCAAGCCACCTTATCTTATCTCATCTCATCTTATCAGATCTCTCAAGTCTCTCGACTCATCCAACTCCACAATGACCGTCTTCAGGCCCGCCCTCGTCATCGTCGACTTCCAACTTGACTTTTGCCCTCCCGTGCGTACGGCCCTCATCTTCCTTCCTCTCCGACCCTCATTCTTAATTTCAAATCCAATATCAAAAAGCATCTAAAAAAAAACACACGATGAACTCAAGCTAACATCTTTTCCCAGAACGGCTCTACCCCCGTCCCCAAAGGCCGCTCCATCGCCCCCCAACTAAACACCCTCCTCTCCCTGCCCTTCACCCTCAAAATCGCCACCCGCGACATCCACCCCCCCAACCACATCTCCTTCGCAGCAAACCACCCCTTCCCCGCCAAACCCTACGTATCCTCCACCGAAATCTTTCACCCTACCGACCCTTCCAGGTCCTACGTCACAAAGCTCTGGCCCGTACACTGCGTGGAGAGTACCCCGGGCGCACAAATCGTCCCCGAGCTGGACATGAGCAAAGTGGATTTCGTGCTGGACAAGGGCGAAGATGCACGGGTGGAGATGTACTCTGCGTTCTATGACCCCTTTCGGTTAGTCGATACTGGATTGCTGGGTAGATTGAAGGCGAAAGGCGTGACGGATGTGTTTGTGGGGGGGTTGGCGGCGGATTTTTGCGTGCGGGCGACGGCGGAGCATGCCGTGGAGGAGGGATTCCGGACGTATCTCGTGGAGGAGGCTACGAAGCCGGTTTTTGTGAATAGATGGGACGAGTGTAAGAATAAGATGAGGGGGAAGGGCGTGGAGATTGTTTCGATGGATGGGCCGGAGGTGGCGCGGGTGAAGGCTTTGGCCTGAGAGGAGAGAATCAGACAAGCCAGGGGGGAAATTTGAGTCACGGGATGGGATTCAGTGCTCGAGACAGGGAATAGATATGAGCTATGAGATTGTGTCGATGGAGGCCTTGGTATGTAATCTACGAACAAGAACACGAGCTATGAGGTTGCGCCAGTAGGGACAGGCCTTGGTAGCCTACGAACAAGATCAGACTGGCTAGGAAGACAGGTTGCGGGAAGAAGCATGACGCCCGAGAACAAGAATGGAGCAGCATGACAAAAAATATGCAATGGCGGTTGAGGAGACCAAGGATACTGTGATTAAGTCTTTGACCTCGAAAAAGATGTATAGCGTCTATGCAAATACCTAGTAATCACTTGCTAGTTGATGCTCTCACTCCCCGCGCAGCATAATTATGAAACTCCCTAAGAATGGAGCAAAACCATTTCTACTCCCACTTATTTCCCTCCTCCATCTCCTTTATATACTAAGTTAACTCCGGTTCATTTCATTTTCCCTTGTGTCACATGTTTTCTACAATCCGATCATCGCTTTGACCGCTGCTTGGCCGCAGCGCTTTGGCTAGACTTGTCCTGCGCATTCGTCATGGCCAGCGACACAGGCGT